AGGCTGGAGTCCCATGAGGTGTATTTACCGCGAATCGCGTAACCGCGTAACCAATCAGAAGCGATTCGCTGTTGTGATTTCGCGTTTTACTGATTATAGGCTGGAGTCCCATGAGGTGTATTTACCGCGAATCGCGTAACCAATCAGAAGCGATTCGCTGATGTGATTTCGCGTTTTACTGATTATTGATTGGTTACGCGGTTACGCGATACGCGGCAAATACGCTTCATGGGACTTCACCCTTAGGGCCACTTTCACCATCGTCGGTTAACTTAACCAGTCTAGTAACTGTAATGAAATAGAAAGAGATAGAACTATTTCTATCTCTTTCTATTACATTACAGTTACTAGGCTGGTTAAGTTAACTGAGTTTGGTAAAAGTGGCCCTTAATATCTCAGATCACAAGGCAAAACGACGTTTTTTTTTGCCGTTTGAATTTCGCGCTAATTTAGAGGCAAAATTCTTATTGGCTCTTTCTATATTCAGTCGCCATTATGCACAACGGAATACCTGGGGATCGATTCTGTATCTTGAAACGAGGTGAAAATTACGAGAGTGAATTTACTAGAATACTGACAATTTCATTGGTCAACACCTAGTAAATTTGCTCACTTTTGTAATTTTCACCTTGATTGAAGATACAGAATCGACCCCCTGGTATTCTTAGAGGCCAGATACAAGCTTTTGCATAACGCATAACGCATAGTGCATAAGCGAATCAACTAATCAGAAGTTTTTCTCCCATTCCATGGAAAAGAAGAATTTCGATTGGTTGATTCCCTTCTGCACTATGCGTTATGATTTATGTAAGAGTGTGTGCTGCGGCCTTTATATCACGATCGCAGCAACAAGGTAACAACATTGCGTTGACTCATATAGCGTTAAGCCGGGAGCACATAGAAAAACGTAAGTCCGTAAGACGTAATCAGTAAGGAAATCGTAACATTGGATTCGCTACTGGTCTTAAGGTATATCACAGTGTCCATAAAATAAGGTGGTAAGTCCGTATTTTTAATTTGTTGGTTTAAAGTTGCATACGTTATTAAAGTACGTTATTATGTGCGCCTTTCGATCCGTTTTCAGGTAGCAAGCTATGTCATTTTGACGTCGTTTTGACGTCAAATGACGTCTTTTTGACGTCAAAAGTGCGGCTATGCAAGTTTGTGTGGATATACCCTTACAGTCTTTACTGTGATTGGTCAATTCACTTACTGCTTGCGTGTTACGGTCTTAGGCGTCGTCTACAATACACGGAGTAAGAAGTAAGAGTAAGAAATTGACCAATCACAGATTTATTAAGTTTGGTTAACTAGTATTGAAGTAATCGTATTTCATATTGAGTCAGATCGTGGAGGGTAACTGTGCGCAGGCGGTTTGAAATGCGCACAATTATCCGTCTAATAGACTATATAGCTATTTTTCAGTATACACAAGTGAAACTGAATTTGAAGTGAGCTGAGTATTTTATATTCAGATTATGACGTCACTACTTGTTTACTTTTGTAAAAAGTTATCACATGTCAACATAGGTTCAT